GAACATGAGTATATCTGGAACATTCACTCTTTTCGCTGACGAAACCACTATATTGTGGCATAGTAAAGGTATAAATATACTCAATGAGACAATAGCTCATCAACAGCGTATGTCAGAGATTGAACAAATCGTTTTTTGCCCTATATTCACTGAAATCAACCTTGAACAGATCATCCCTGCTAAACGTTTATTACGCCTTAGCCTACTCAGCTATTAGCTATAATATCACCACATGGGGACAAGCTACAGAACGGAACCTGGTATTCATGATCCAGAAACGCATTATTCGATTAATATATAATAACTATTGCAACAATTATTTGAAACCATTCATTCCAATGTACTATCTGGGCCGGAAAGTCTCGGGCCTGACACAATAGATTAGATTATATTGTCGAGAAGTTAGCCCATGACTTGATTCACCGCGACCTTTTTAGATCTATTGTGATGCTCCTTGGTTGTTAGAGCTCAGTGTCTAGCTTGATCTCTTTGATGAGACTCCATAGCCTTGACACTGATCCCTTCATATAGCTGGCAGCCTCTGGTTTCTCTTCCCTGCATCTTACGTGTCTCAGCCTTGCTATCGCATCGCATTCACAGAGCACATGCAGTCTGGTTTCTTCCTCTTCTTAACAGAACCTAGCGGTTCTTCCGTGAATCTGGGAGATGGTTTCTTCATGAACTCTTTCGCCTGCCTCATTACTGGGAGCTTATTTCACCATTCTTTCGAATCGGCTTGTATCCATGAATTTATGGATGTCTTTATACATGCTTCCGCTACCCCGCAGAAGGGTTCTGGGCCGACCATAGCCTTGGATGCGCTTTCACGGGCTAGAACATCGGCCTCCTCATTGACCTTGTGACCCTCATGTTCGGGTACCTAAGCTAGAGTGACCCTATTTTGGATACTTAGCTCCTTGAGTGTTTGGCCATGTTTGAACATAACAAACACTAGTTCGGACTTCCATTGTCTACTATATAAAATGATTTGAAATCCCTGAAACAAGTAAAAAGGAATAATCAAAAAAAAGAATAGCTGAAGATAAAAACACTTTATTGTGAGATTTTTACTGAAAAGTTTACAAATCCGCAACAAGTGTTTCACTAAACAAGAGCTTCATCAGACATGCTCTACTGATAGTCTGATTGTCTACTCCCTTCAAGGTGGAGTTTCAACCATCCCAGATGGTTTCTAGCATCACTATTCTGCAGTTGACACAGTCAATCACCGCTAGTCGAATTGATGCATGCCTCAAGGGGAAAGTTAATAAATTAGGTTGTTTGAATGTCGTGTTTTTATAGTCCTATATCTGTGTTCAACGAAAGTGCTGCCGGAACAGCCCAAAAAATTTGTTCAGCATTTTACAATGATTATTTTAATGAATGATTGTAGTCTCAAAGTTGAGCCCCGAAGTGGTCGACCTACAATAATCCAGGACGGGGATTTGTAGACCCTGGTGGAGACTGAGCTATCACAAACGGTGCGTCGGAAGGCAGAAGAATTGGGCGTTAGCTCCCATGCTGTTTTTGATGATTCAAATCCCAGGAAATATGATACTTGAGAAGTAGGTGCTCTACAAATTGAACGTTCGACAGAAATTGTCACGTTTCGAGGTCTGTTATTTATGCTTTTGCGCAACCAAAACGGTCATTTTTGAATCGTATCGTCCCGTGGAATAAAAAGTGGATCATCTTTGACAACAGGTGATTTTCAGGACAGTGATTGAACACCGATGAACCACCCAGGCACTTACCAAAGGCGAAAACCAACCGGCCAACCGGCCAACCGGTCAGCGGCTGGTGTGATTCTCTACAACTTTCTGCAAACGTGCTAATCCATCACAACAGTAATGAGGAAATCGACGAAACCCTCTACCATCTTCTCAAGCACTTCGATATCTCTCTCAGTGGAAAAACCTTTGCCAATCGGGGTCAGACAGAAACGGCGTTCTTCGACTTCGATTGAATTGATATATTCATTATTGAAATTATTGAGAAGGACTCATGAAATCGGACAAAAGTTACGAGATCTGTTTGAAAAAAAATCTGTTTTTCCGTTAATCAGCTGTCGCCCCCATACGAACGACAACTCTCAGAAAATAGTGCGAGCTAAGGACTAACAAGGTCTTACCTTCCAACGTGTGATTCCTAACACGGTTGCAAAATCATCCCAGCTTCAACCAGATACATTTTCTCGAAATGATCCAATACATTAACTAGTTTTTCAGAAAGCCAAACGAATTAGAAGTGGTCATTTTTTCAATATGAGGATGATTATTCAGACTTGTTTCAACCGATTCGAATCGGTTTTTGCCAAAATTGGTTGTAAGGATTTCGTTCTTGGGTCTGACCCCGATCATTAGAGTAACCATCTCATTGCAGTAACGAATTGCCATTCAGCCTGTATTTAGTGGGAGAACTATTATGAAGTTCAATGACTCATGAAGTAAGAAAGGGTAAAAAGAGAAATGAAAATTTTTATGTTTTTCACCACTAACTACTACTAACGTTACTGCAGTTTCGTTCTATATGGACATTCTCAAACTTATACAATAAACTAATACAATATACTTATACAACTTTCACAATACAAACTTATACAATGAACAATAAATGAGAGTTTATTGTATAAGTTTGAGAATGTCCATATAGGACGAAACTGCAGTAACGTTAATTACAAATGAAAGTGGTAAAAGACATAGGGTCTTTTTTGTCAATTTAAGAAAGGGTATATGTGTAATATATCAACGAATCTCCATCTCCCTAGTTATGTTATGACTCCCCTCTCTACTGAACAACCAGTCGGTGGTTGCAGTCTTCTCCCTGCAACTGTTGGTTTCGAAGCTAGTTCTGCATCACATGACATTGTAGAGCGAGACTGAAACAACATATTCCTTCTTTCCATGTTCCGGATAGAGCACCAAACTAGGCTCTATTATCATGAGATATGAGATTTGAGGGGCTGAACACGAATTTGCTATCGTCATGGTTTCAAGTACGTGTATGCACTCTATATATAGCGGAAATTAGACACTGAGAACTGATTCAGAATCTCTCGAGAGCAAATAGAATTATGTCATTTGAAGTTCCACGAATATTCATTCTTTATCGAAAAAAAGTCGTCCTATCGATCCCTGTTTGTCATAAACACGAATCGATTGATTCCTTGAAGTCACCAAAACAATATTTTTCCTGCAAATCATTGTAGGTACCAAAAGTCATTCAGGGTGGCTCGTTCTAAATGGAATGCGCTGTATATTACATGTCCCAGAAGATACATGTTGGATTTTGTCGTTAGACATTTCAAAATGTCTTCCTGACTCAGGACACGAATCGATCAATTCCATGAAGTTACCAAAACATAAAAAGTTGTTAATTTCAGTAATCCAATGAAGTTTCAGCCCCCTAGTTGGCAGACTATCAGAGTAGTCAGATTATACTTTTACCATCAACAATGGTGTTCCCCAGGGATCCATATTGTCTCCAACCCTCTTTTTACCGTTTATCAACGACCTATTGAAAAAATAATGAAGAATCCAATATTTTGCTTTGCTGAGGACAGCATACTTATCTAGTTATTTCATTTGGATTCCAGGACATCAGCTACGGAGGCTCATCTTCACCGGCAGTAGGAGGTTGCATATATTAATGAGGATCTAGAAGTAATTTAGAATTGGGGTGAAATGTACCAGTTTCACTTCAATGCCATAAACACCCAGGTGTCTGTTGTCTCCAGCTAACATAGTCTTTGCTATGTTAATGAACTCCAGAACCGTGTAACAATAGTCATGACTTAATGTAGTCCCGTCAATCTAACTTTGAATAGAAATATTCCCTTGAGAAAAATATCTGTTTGAAATCGGGTACAAACCAACAAAATTTGGATCGTGAGTCGGATACACTAGCTTTTGTGAAATAATGGTAATTATGTACCGTTTTTGAAACATTCACATCTCTCAAAATGACTATTGGACGCAGTGAATAAGTTCATCAACTCATTTGGCTGAGTCTAATTTTAGGATTGCTGAAGCGAAATCCCTCCTGAATATTCTGCCCTTTAAAAATAAAAATACTTTGATTTTTACGCAGTAACTTATCGGGGTAAACTAAAAAGTTTGCCCTTCTACACTTGTATAAAGTTCTCCATTATAATTTTTATATTTTTTCAGATTGTGGAAGTTAACAATTACCCAAAAAAAGGTCGATAAAAAACTGATTTTTTCCTCCACAAAAAATGACTCTCGTTGAATAATGAAATATACTTCGTGAATAAGTTCTCTCCTTCAAATGGGAATACTCAGTTGATTTATGAAGCACTATTCTGTTGAATCAGATTATCACCCTCAGAATCAATGAGATCCGTTCTTATACTTTTATTTGGATTATTGTAATCAATTCAATTGCTCCAGTTATCTTCTTCAAAAAGGTGCATGAATCTTGAGACTGTTTTCCACATGATGGGGAATCAGAGGAAAACAATGATCGTTCGATCGTTTGAACATTCGGTTTTTAAAAAACCTTTTGCCAAGTCCTCCGCTCTGGAATTTTCAAACTAGTTTATAAATAAACCGTTTCCTCTCATGTTTTTTCTGAAGGTTCATATCAATAAGTCTCGTTCATCCTTGATATTTGTGGTTTCAGATATTTGCCAATCTCATTCATTATTCAAACAAAAAATATAACCACTAGGAAGAACCTCCAAAAGCATCTCATTAGCGGTATATATTGTGGAATAAGTTCCAAAAACGAGAAATTCCGACCATTGATTCTGTAGCCATTAATTCAGAATTTGACGCATCAGCACTGTAGGTATTCATGAACACACTCATGTATCAATTAGTTTCTAATATCATGGCAAAAACAGAGCAAATTCGATTTTGATTGTTATATCACTGTATATCATAGGATGAACAATCTCTGGGGATGCAGTGAAAGTAGTGAAAGAACGCGTAGGTATATATAGGATACTTTCCCGAAATCATTCATCAGTTCATCTAACAACTTCAGTGGCTGTACACCATACTAAGCAGTGTACAATGAATAGTCTCGTAAGTTGAAAAATAATAACAATTGTTTTGATTTTAATGTGGATTGTGCTAAAGTGAAGAGTGGACAAGAAGTGAAATTTTTGAAAAGATTAGATCTCAGTCATTGAAATTTCATAAATATAATATAACTTGAAAATATATTATTCAAACTCGATGAAGGAGTACTTGGCTACAGTGACTTTTGCAATTTTCAACCATTCAAATCATTTAACAAACATCGAATTCATTCTATAAATGATTATTTTCTAATCTAAAAAGTATTTGAAAATTTCACAGAAATATTTTTTTATTTTGAACTGAAGGCAACTAAACTTATTTTGTGGTTCATAACAATTGATCAATCTTTCGTCCATATTCACTAAACATAGATCTACATAGATGAGAGTAATATAAACTGACACGCAGAATTTCAATTTTGATGTATCTAATGATTATGGGAAGGGAACTGAAAACATTATATTCATAATTCAAAATACTGTCATTTTCATTTATGACGAAAATTGTAATTTCTGAAGAACAACTTATCAACTTTCACTCTGAATAATGGACGGGAACCATATTTTGTGGAAAATATCAGTTATTTTCTGACTATATTCTACTTCATCAATTACGTCAAGACTTCAATATTTGTCTGCAAAAATTTCTGCTGTTCATAAGTAACTTGTATATGATAATTTCAAATATCAGAAAAAAATCTACCTCTGTCAATAAAATGGAAATTCATCTAATTTTCAAGCTTATTCGACAGTATCATTGGGTTTGCATACCTTAATTTTTTCACTCTTGGGATACCACAGTTTTGCAAATTGACAAAAACAAATTGTTGCGAATAGATGAAAGAAAATAATTTTGGAAAAATATAGTTTCCTAAAGTGTTTGAAAATGATAAATATTCCATTCAGCTTGGTATCAGAACAATTCGCTTGATTTGATACTTTGAAATTTTAATATGCTCCATTTGCTCGAAAATATGACTGAGAATAGAATGGATTTTGTTGCAATGAATTGACTATATCGAATGGGAATTTTCATTGACTTTCATGTATTTACTCTGTACGATGTGAATTTGTTATTGGTGTCAGGTTTCACATGTACACAATGTTTGTTTATTCTTGAAATCAATCTACTGTTCGATCATTTTAATATTGCATTTGGTTCTTTCAATATCTAATGATTCAACTTCGTAAACAATTAAGATGACAACTAACACTAATGACGAATGAACATATTAGCCAACTTAAAATCCTCATATGATATGGCCTATTGAAAAATAGTTTTATTGAATGAATTTGCCTATTCATTTATTCAAAGTATAGTTTTTACAAAACCTGTGGTATAACCAATTTCAATATATTATGATATCTGCTACATTATTTAATGGAGAAAAACTAAAATCAACTGAGTCTTTATATGATGAATGGAACAAGACACAATGAAAATCAGTTTCAAACTCACATACATGTCTTATGTTTCAGTCTGTCATAATAATTTTTCTACATTGAGTTTTTTTAAAAATAATAAATTATTATGTTGATCAAAATAAGAGACACTGAAGCATATACTTTTGTATATAGATATGAAATTGGAATGGGATGAGAAAGTTCATGAATTTTTTATGTTAATATAATTAACATATAAATAGAATAGGATGGAGCAATGTTCACAATTTCGATATGCACATAGAGCAGAAACATTTGTGATTTCATTATGAATTCATGAGAGATATAATTTCATACTTGGAGTTCAGATTCCTTCATATCTTATCCATCATATACATTATGTATTCTGTGAATGGAGTCATTATTACTCATTCCAGATTTTTTTTAAAGCACCCTCGATATTACTAGTGGTGGGAGAACATCATGAATACTGAGAAATGAACGTAGGGAGTTTTATTTCTCAATTTTCATGACCGTCAATATTGAATATCAAAATTCGTACACGTACTCGTACTCGTATTTTAGAATTTGTAGGAACGCTATTTTCATTATTTAACGTTGTTTCCAACGAGAAAGCTGATGTTTGAATCATATATTATTGATCAGTTTGAAAAAAAAACACTCTGTTCATAAGGATTCAGTTCTCTGGAAGCGTAATACGTTTCTGAATAATTTTTTCCGACTTGAAATGGTCACTTTGAATTACTACCTATTAGACGTAATTATTAGTATTTTATTATATTATTCATTGCTATTATATTGCAATTGTCGGTGTGATCTTATCAAGGTATCAATATTCACTGATTCACTAGCTCAATGTTTCTCATAGAATGAAAGTTAAAATATTCTATTTTTTGTGAAGAATCCAAAGTTTTCCACTGTTTTGGGCTTATCTGAGAAATAAACAGAGAATATATATTTTGAGAATAAAATCAAGGACAATACTGTTGACGATTAGAAATGGTAAAGCATACCTCAATTTACACAAAAAAGGGTTTCTATAAAAAACCCAATTTCTCAATGGGGCTCCACAAGGTCCATGATTTGGACTGGAGGTATTTCTTCTATATGTAAATTTAATTGATAACATTTCAAATGAAAAAAATTTCATTATTTATTCTACGTTCCATTGTTGATTTTTACTCAGAGTCATAAATATAAATTTAATTCCAATTCAATAAATTTCAGTTCCCAAATTTGTATCTATTATTATGGAATTTGTCACCTAACGAAATGAGTTTGACATCAGTAGTATTGAATATTACTGGAGTTTTTTTCCCAATACAAAACCGTTATTTTAACAATTCGACACGTGTTTCGGTCATCAAGTGATCATCTTCATTAATCGTATTAATATATCATGTGAACGATGAATAAAAGCATTTGGATCATATCTACGACTCAGGATATTATCTAACATTTTTCCTAATTAGACATCGGTTTGAATGGACTCTTCTGTTAACCAGTCGTCTCCATACGAATAACAATCCAAGTAGTTAAAGTTTGTATGAGCTGGAGATTACCGAGATCCTACCTTTCAATGCTCGATCCCTAGAATGGGTATATAAATTTGTTTATCCTCATTTTCAATGTTGAAGCCAGAAGTACCTACAAATTAATATCTTCCATCGGTGACCTTCCATACCAAACGGACGAATACGATCAACTCAAACAATTCATCTTTTTCTAAAACGAAAATTCAAGGAAAGTGTCAACTGAATCCGGATCAATTAAAATCGAATCAATTGAAAGTCGTGACCGTACGTTCCAATTTCGCAACCGAATGCGAGTAAAGAAACATCAAAGGAATGCATCCTGCGCTACGGTCTAATGCAGCCAATAATTAGAAATTCAGATTCGCAGCTCTTGAGTACAGGGCCGGAATTAGAGGTTTTTTTGTTGGTCAACTTCCGCATAAATATTTATCATCATAAAGTACGGTGAATAATATAAATTGGACATTTTTGGTTGATTCATATATTGTCATCAAAAGTCGGGCTTTCTTTGCTAAACCTCGTTTTAGGGAATGAAAAAGCTATTGACTAATCTGATACTCAGAATTATTGACTCATTTGCACTTGGAAAATATCTTCATGTTTGTCTGGAGTTTTTGTTACAGTCATTAAAAATGCATTAGTTATATTTTCAAACATTGAGTGGATATGTCATCTGAGACCAAACTTTTGTCGAAAAATTGGAGAAAAATATACAATGAGTTGAGAAATGAAAAAGCATTATGTATATCACAAATAAGTGATAGAGAGGGCATATTCTAATATGTCACGTGTCAATATTTCAATCCTGATAAAATTGATATCATCATAGCTCATTGCCATGTTTGTCCTGATGGAGGTAAAAGTAATCTAAACAAACCATATTTGTTAATTGGAATCCCTGTTTATCTTTCGTTGAAGAAGGAGTTCTTGCAGTTCTAATTTTTGAATATTCCAGTTCCAGATTTTTTCCCACATATAAATATCAATTGGAAATGGAAAACTGGCCCCCCTCCTAAAAAATCAGTAATTTATCATTAAATGATATCGATATGTCTGATTTTTGCTACAAATGTCCGGTAACAACCTCTTCTTGTACTTTTTGATTGATTGAAACTCAATCATCTTCCATGAGAAATTCACTGAGATGAAACACTTCTGGCTCAATTAGAAAACATAATAATTTTCGATCCTCTACAAGTTATACAAAGCTGATACCTGTAATCAATGAAAAATTGTATCGATAATAATGAATTTCCACAGTCCGGCACTGCCTATATTTATTCCGAATCATGATATAAACTAATTATATTACTTTCATCGACACAATCTCTACTTCATCAAAGTGCTGTTATAATAACTTCACAATATTTGTTTGTTATACTAAAAACGACATATGTTATAATTTACTTTCACATTCAAGTCCGGATACTTTCCATGTTCCAATTTCTTGCTTAGGGCTCTGAACTTTCAGATGGGTTCAACAATCTCTGCAAATTGGATCAATTAAAATGAATTACAGTTCAATCGATTAAAGATACTCTGATACCCTTCAGTTTAGTTGGAATGTATAGAGTGAAGTGTTGCATTTGGCGTTATTGAGACATTAATTTTGTTTTTATTTCAATTTGGATTCATTAATTTGGTATATTCCTTTATATAATTGAGTTCCCATCAATTCGTAATGACAAAAATAATTATAAAAAAGAAATGCAACAAAATATCTGAATCATTAATGAAACTGATTTTAAAAATCTCAAATCTTTTTGTTCAAATATCAATCATCCGCAATTACAGACGAAATGTCAGGACAAATAACCTACAATTCATGGATGAAATACCCTGAATGAATTACACACCGGCAATGAAAGTATACACACCATGATCAATAGCCTATGTTTTTTTGTATTTCTTTTCTATGTTTGTAGGATTGATAACAATAATCAAAAGTTTGGGACTTTATGAATATCTTATCTTGATAATTCTTACATTGGAAAAATCATCGTTGTTGATTTGCCTCTGGAGCTTTTTGTATTCACTTTACATTGCGAATCAACAAAGGAAACAGCTACTCATTTCATATTCAAATATATCGCCAACGTGACGTTACTCAGTTTTTGTGATAAAATGATCTCCATGGTACCACACGACCATGGATGTCATTTCAACACATATTTATTCGATGCATGATCTATCAATTCATATTGCAATCAAGCATATTAAAGGAACTGTTCATTCTTACAGGCTATCACATCTGTCTTGCTGTTGATCGCAACCGTAAATGCTGGTTTCGCCGGCAGTTATGGGGGCCATGAAGGTTATGGTGGTCATGAAGGTTATGGTGGACATGAAGGTGGACATGACATCTCCCACACCGTCGAAATAACGAAGCACGTCCCTATTCCCGTCTACAAACACGAAGCAGTACCTATTCCGCACACAGTACCAGTTCCAGTTCCTAGACCTGTAGCAGTACCAGTCCCCCAACCTTACCCTGTGCACGTGAAGGTACCGCAACCCGTGGCAGTGCCAGTCATCAAGACCATCACGATTCCCGTGGAGAAACCAGTACCTTACAAGGTTGAGAAAGAAGTTCCCTACCACGTTGAGAAACCAATTCCAGTTCCTGTAGAGAAGCACATCCCAATCAAGATCCCCAGGCCAGTACCCGTCAAGGTACCAGTCTATAAGGTTGTGTACCACCATAGCAAGCATTAAGTGAAAAACGCAAGACTGATGCATCATCTTCATCACCTCTCATCTTAGTCATTTTTGTTGTTTGTTATGCCTGTTGTTGAGTTTTGTTTAATTATATGATTTTTATCGATTATTATTGTTTTTCAATTGAATACACCCAGGTTGTTCTTTAAAAAATTATCAGGTTTGTGAATTTCAACCATGTGAATAATGAATAGACTTTGGACTTCTATGCAAACGCTTTACTGCGAAGAATGGAATGCATATTTGGTAAAAAAAATTTAATTCTCAAATCTAACCAATTATATCCTTTATGAAATGAAATAAGAACCGTATGATATATTTTTGATATAATAAAGTACTGAATGTACTGAATAGAGAATTTATAAAGAGAAAACAAAGAGTGAAAAATTAACGAAAACAAAAGTAGGAGAGAAATTAAAGTTAGAACGGAACCCAATGAGATAACCAAATACTAACTTCGACAATATGAATGAGTATATTCTGTACTTCAATAAAATAGGTGGAAAAATAATGTTAGTAATAATGGCAGTAAATATGAAAATACTACGCTTAACTATTTTGTTATTTCTTATCCGATATGAATGAGATTTTCAGTACATTATCTACATCAGTATTATATATTTTTTTCAATAAAAACGTTGAACATTGTTTTACTTATTTTATTTTCGAATCTTTAGTTCAGTTTAGCAATATTTAATCCGCCATTTTGTAGCTGCGGCCATCTTGAATTTGCATCTTTTCCAAAGTGTTCATCTATTATATTAGTCGAACCCTGTTATTTGATACCCATATTGAGGTAGTTGTAATAAAAAATGTAATTCGCCATTTTGTAGCTGCTGCCATCTTGAATTAACAATGATACACAATTCATTCAAATATATTGTCTTCAGAACTGAAGATGTGTACCAAATATCAGAACAATCTGTCAATAGGAAGGTGGTCAAACTTCAGTTACTAACTTTTACCCAAACAAATAACAGGGCAAGATAAATAAAACCGTTTAAAAAATAATGTTGCAATAGATGGTTCATTGATTATATCCTCCATCAGCAATTCAAACATATTCACAGCTATGGAGGTTTGAACATAAACTTTTTGCAGGCTTCAATGTCTAAAAATATTTTGTGTGATATTCTCGAATCTCATAACCTCGAATCCCTACTAAGACAACCTACTCGTATTGCGAATACAAGGAGTAACACCAGTGCTACGGCCATTGACTATGTAATTACTAATGACAAACAATGTATTGATTTTGAAATTTTTGACCCATGCATTTCCGACCATTGTGTCCAAAATATCACTTGGAAAAGTCATGAAGTTGATCCACCAAAACGGAAAAATACTATCTTCAGAAGGAAATTCACCGACTTCAGTGTAGAGCAGTTCAAATATCTTCTGAGGTAGCTTGACAATAACTACTTGAACTCTTCAGATATAAATGTTTCTTTCGCATTCGAAGCATTTTTCCCTAAAATTCCTATTAAACCCAAATATTCACGGCCACCAAACGCTTGGTATTCTCGTCAACTCAAAGCTGAATCAGATAATCTGAGGAATTTCAATAACTTGCATGAAACAATTCCCAAAAATGCCGTTCTTAATGATGAAAATGAACGATTGAAAAAACTTTATAACCAAAATGTAAAAATAGCGAAGCAGAATCACGATAAGAATCTCATAGTACATGTCTGAATAAGAACAAATTACAAATTGACATGGAGATTGATCATGATGGTCAACGAATCTCGGATAATCAGGAAGTTGCAAATATATTTAGTAACTTTTTCGTGATGATAGTAGATGACAACTGAAAGCTAATTTCAGTAACGGTCTCTGAATTAACTGCACTACATCATATATAACAAAAATGAATTATTTTTCTTTTCAGCCTTTTCTGTCGTCAGAAATAGAAGTTATAATGAAAAACCTAAAGAATAAAAAATCTACTGGAATAGATGAAATTCCAGTTTACTTAATGAAAAAGTGTGCTACAGAAATTGCATCATATTTGTCGTATACTTTGAATAAATCAGTTGAACTGGGTCAATTTCCAAGTCGGCTGAAAATATCCTTAGTATTACCTATCTACAAAAAAATGACAGACATTCCTTACTCAACTAGAGGCCTATTGCATTATTGAGTAAATTGTCAAAGATATTGGAGAAAGGGATGGCACATAGGCTAAACCAATACATAAAAAAGTTCAATATACTTAGCCCAAACCAACATGGTTTCAGAAAAGGATATTCAACTGAAACTGCAACTAGAGACTTGATTCAGCTGATACAGGATAAGATGGAGGCAGGTGAGTTGGTCATTGGATTGTTTTTCGACTTATCCAGAGCCTTCGATACTCTTAACTTCAATTTCATCTCGACAAAAATGTATGCACTCGGTATACGTGGAAAAATCAAGGACTGGTTCCATTCATTCCTAGAAGGAAGAAAACTGATAGTTAGAGTGAATGACATAGCATCCTGGGTCCACTGATTTTTTGTTATTTATAAATGACCGTCCCGAACATGAGAAAGATGGAAAGGTTAACTTGTTCGCAGATGATACCTCAATTTTGATTTCTGGCTCTAACAGAGGTGAACTAGTAGCAAAAACAAAAAACGTATTAAATCAATTCGACCATTGGTGTCAGAAGAACAATTTAATTATAAACTATTCGAAGACTGTCGCTATTCAATTCCACATATCGACTAAGGAAAGAGCCATCGGTGAAAATCTGTATATAAACAGTTCATCAATCACATTTCAAAGTAGCTCCAACTTTTTGGGCACAATCGTCGACGAACATCTCAAATGGGCCAAAGCATGGGATCACTATGTTCGGTTTTTTTTTTTACATTAATTGAATTTCGCATCAACCTCGAGGGTTATTAGCGACAATTCACATTTCATAGTACTTTGATTTCTTACAATAAATTTATATGTCTTAGAAAGGCAATTAGTTTTTCACAGTTACAATTTTGTCCTAACGCTGCTTCAATTGAAGGGGGGATATCGTACTCGACTCTCTCGATGGAGTAAGATGCGCACTCAGATAAAATATGTTTGACACTTATGATACAGTCACAAACTTCACATGTAGGAAGGTTATTACCGTTGAGGATGTATTCATGAGTGAGGCGAGTATGCCCTAGTCGAAGACGTGATAGGATAACTTGCAATTTTCTCGTTTTTGGAAGTGATTTCTAGGGTAAGACCAATTGTTTAATTGCTGATAACTTAGAGTTGGAGCCATTCCATTGCTGTTGCCACACGTTAGTAAGGATTTGTTTGTAAAACGGTTTCAGGTCAGGGTGGGCAAGTCTTTTTTTAATATCTTTGAGTGGGTTAGTAATAGCATCCTTTGCCAGCTGGTCGGCCCTTTCGTTGCCTGCTATACCAACATGTGATGGAACCCACATAAAGTGGATATGTTTACGTTTCTCAATGATTGAGTGGAGCTTATGTTTGATGTGAAGTATGATGGGGTGTTCTGGGTTTAGCTTCGTTATTGCCTCCAGTGTACTCAGTGAGTCGGTAATTACCAAGAATTTTGAGTGATCGCTTTTTTCTGCATATTCAAGTGCTTTCCATATGGCATAAAGTTCTCCTGAGAATACAGTGCTTTCTGCTGGTAGTTTGAAGGAGCGATTGGAAGCAGTACTGGTGAATGCTGCCCCCACTCCTTCTTCTGATTTGGATGCGTCGGTGCAATAGTTGTTGAAAAGTTGCATGAATTAAACTATGGTTGGTGTTATTTTTCTCAAATTGTACGAGCCCTTTTTCAATTTTAATGCTTGGAAAGGTCCATGGAGGAGGATTAGGAATGTTTGAGGTGTTGTTCCACCTTGAATAAGCACTTCTTTGCGTTGAAAAATTTGAAGAGCTGTTCAAATGAAGAAGGTCTCATGAGCGTTTATTATGCATTGGTATATTCTTCCATTAGTCATAATATTATAGTTTATGGTCCCGCTACTGGTAGCAGCAGAGTCTTCATAGTACAGAAAAGAATCATATGATTGATATTCCACCTGGGTTTTCGAGAATCTTGCAGAGGTGTTTTCAAAGAAAAGAGAATATTGAAATTCACGAGTATCTATTTGTCCACAACTACCCAACATGTCAAAGAAATCAATTCAAATTGGAAATTGTTAACTACTCGACCTATAAAAAATCCCCAAAATATGCTGCGGCAAACTTTTTCAACATGCTACATAATGACTTGAAGAATCAGCCAAACCTGTTCAGATTCAAAACAAAATTGAAATGTTATCTATTATCCAGGGCATTTTATAGTATTTCAGAATTCATTTCGGACCCCAATGAACAGTGTACCTACTGTGTACTACCTACTTTCAGTTTTGCTTGGTTTGAAAGTGTTTTATTGTTTTATTATTTTAACATTGTTGTGTTTTGACTTATCAATCCAATGTAAATTGGTGTATGATCAATAAATCTATATCTATCTATCTATCAACATCATTTGGTCTCAGCCCCCACAAACATATTTACAAACGCTAGTTAAGTTGAGATCAGTGAACAAAAGTCTATTTCCATGTCTAACTGGTACTGTTTTTCTAAACGCCTTAAGGAAAAGCGGCTTTTGCAATTCCGGCAACATGATTGTGCCACGACATACTGGTGTCCATTTCAACCCCCAACAAACAGAAAGCGGAACTGTCTGATCTGACATTATTATATCCAGTTCGGGGACATTTATCTTCTTGGAGAAAACCGATGCCTAGGTGTGGCATTGAATTGAACCTGGTTACTTTCACCCAAATTCGAAATCATTTCTAGATCCTCATCAAAATATGCAACCTTCTGCTGCCGGTGAAGATGCGCCTCCGTAGCCGATGTTCTGGAATCCTAATGAAATGACGAGACACGTGTATTGGCATCAGCAAAGAAATATATTGGATTTTTCTGATGAGTCGTTGATTTACAATAAAAAGAGGATTGGAGAGAACTGTACCATTTGTGATTTCTTCTGAGCTTCTTCACTAGCTATGTATGTGTTGGTCGACGATAATAATGGCGATCTCATTGACGATTTATCATCTTTGGTAAAGAATTCATTCCTGTGTTGGAAGTATCAGTTGTGAAGTGAGT